TTTTTTTTTTTTTTTTTTTTTTTTTCCCACACAACACACTCTGCCCCATCTATTCTGGGGGCCTACAGTCCGGTTGCTTATCACCGGCAAGCAAGAGTTTTACAATGATCAGGAAAAGGTAGACAAGAAGAAGAAAGGGCTTAACCTGCCTGGCCCGAGACACCAATCAGCAGGGGACTAAAACCGGGGTGACCGTTCCCAATAATGAGAGGGCGTCAGGGGCAGCACATGGTGGGTGGGAAACTTCCAGACGGTACCCAGACCCCATCATGGGCTGTCCCGGCGAGATCCTCCTCTCCTGAGAGCGGCACACCGTAGTATTCAACTAGCCCCCGGTCATGTCCCTTTATCAGGATACCTATATCCTCACACATTAGCAAATCATCTAGTCTGATCTTCCCTAAACTATTTACCGTACACACAACCCTTTTAACAAACTCCCCCTGTGCAATCTGTAACTGATTACTTGCAATAGCTACTACTACTCTTACTCTTCTCTGATTAGTTGACCAGTTGACCAGTTCACCCTAAGTTGCTGTGTTAACTTTGTGACACCCGACAAGTTCTCCCTCCCCTCCCCCTCACCCTCCCCCCCCTAGTCCTAATCTACTACTGTACACTACTGCACCTCAGTGGCCCTTATCTACGACTGTCCCCCTCAGCTGCTAATCCTCTGGAAGCACCCTATTGAAGTCGTAGCTTCAGGACTTCTGAAAGGTCAAGGTCGTAGCTGCTACAATCCTGAAAGGTCAAGGTCGTAGCTGCTACAGTCTCGGAAAGGCCAAGACTAAACCTTCCGGAAGGTCCTAGTATTGGCCTTTCGAAGTTTGCTCAGGTTTGAGACAGAAGCAAGTGGGCAAGTGGTGGAGTCTACCCCTGCTGAGTCAGCAGTCCCAGTCCCAGTCCCAGTCAGTCCTAGTCCAGTCAAGCAAGTAGGGTACGGGACTGTGTGCACCACGGGCATGGGAAAGGGCCAGACCAACGAGCTACAGAAGTATAAATTGAGAGGCAGCGACCAGCCATTCATTCATTCTGCGTAAGCCATGCCGAAGCGCTGCCACAGCGACTTGTGCGAGGTGGTCTGCAGTAGGCCCGCAGACGAAGTGGGTGAGAAGGAAGCTTAGCCATAGCCATAGGGTAGCAGCAGCCATAGCCGCCATATAGCTGATAGGAGAGAGAGTAACGTGTGTGAGTGTGCGAGTGTACAGTGTGTTGCGTGCGGGATATCCAGGGTGATCCTGTGTGCGAACAGAAGTGTTGAGCAAGTGACAAACAGAGAGTTGTACAAGCGCTGATGCGCCATAGCCATGTGAAGTGAAATTGTATTTGCCTTGCTTGTGTTGTCTTGTGCTTCAGCGCAGCTTCACTACACGGTTGTCACGCTGCACGTCCTTCATGCCATGTCATTCCTTGCAGTTGTTTTTGGCGTTGTGCAACCATTTTGCCTCTACTGTGTTGCTTGGTGCTCCACAGGATTGTTGTCTGTTGCTGTGTTCCACTTGGGGACAGTCTGCCTTCAACAAGGGTCATAGGGTTCATGACCCAAACCATCAAATACGGAGATTCCGCATATTGTGGAGGGCTCAGCCTCCCTATGAGTTCGTGCAACTCCAACAAAACAATCTTGTTATCATTTGTTTTAATTTTTTCAGTCTATTGTGTTTTCAGATTTGAAGTTTTTTTTTATTTGCTTGTTTTATGTGCTTGCGTCGTCTGCCCTCTCTTCTACTTTCTGCGCACAGGCTCCTGCCTTTGCTCTTTGTTGCTTATGGTGAGTTGATACCTTGTTGTCTTATGCCTTTGTGTCACTTGTGTGCCCACCCGCCTCCCCCATGCCTTTTTCCCTCGCTGTCTTTTTTCTGCCTTCCCCTAGTTGTTGCGTATTGTTTGTTTCAGCTCACAGCTTAGTGCCCTCGGGCTCCAGTCCTTGCGTCTTTTTAAGGAAGTCAGTGAGGTCGTGCATACCCTGTCAAATGGAATATTTGTTTGGATCAGGGTGTGATTCGTTCTATGCCATGATGTCTGTGCTATTGGCATTATTTATGTTGTGTCTTATATAAACGAGGCTTCTTGCATCACTAGGTGCAATGGACTTATCTCTCACACACACACACACACACACACGCACGCACGCACGCACGCACGCACGCACACACACACACACACACACACACACACACTCATACACACGTGCGCGCAGAGCCACGTGGCAATTTGTTGAGAAACTTGAAGACCCTCTTACCTATGGTGCTTCAATACAATGACATATGGGTAGCTGATCAAGATCTCAGTCTACCCCATATTTTCTTATATATTGCAGAAAAGATTTATACTATTAGGTCTAACTATTGTAGCAGCAGTTGACCATCATCTTTAAGACCCCTTCTCCCAAGGGCCAAGAGGTGTTCGAAGGCCAACTTGAAGATCCCATTGATCTAGGTGATTTTTTTTATTTTGGCGACCGAAAAGCAGGGTATCTACTCTACTCTCACTAATCAACTCTCTCACCCCTTCTCCCTCCCTTCCCCCCCATCACCTCATCGTGTTTCTCTAATCCCACCACTAATTCCTGACCTTTCCTGACAATTTTCTTCTTTTTTCTTCACTTGTCTCCCCTCCTTCCCATTGCTCTGTCATATCCCTTACTATTCACTCATCCTTGACCATATTTTTCTCTCCTCTTCTTCTCACTCACCCTGTTTGAAAGACTTTTTCACCTTGTGGACCCCAAATTCGAGTCTTAGGGTCAAGGTTCTCAAGTCAGAGAAAGACCCAGGCGGCCGAAAATAGAAACGTGTCAAGTTGGGTACCCTCAGGCCAGTACCCGACCCTCAAGTCCAGTCCCTCAATCAAAATGCAGCAGCGCTCCAAAGAAAATATAGAAGGTACAGGGCCCCAATATTCCTAAGCAAACAGGTCGAGGACTACCGGTAATCAAGTCCAAGTTGAGTCCAAGTCAATAAGAAGACTGACCCAGCCTCATTCAAACAGATTGCTATTGCAAGAAGGTGGAAGCGTTGCTGGTGCTTGTGCACTAGCACGAGTGACCATGCGCTTAGCAGCCCCACTTGGCAGCGCTGTACTAGGGAAGATAGGCGGGCATAGCCGCTCAACAATAGTAGTAGAGGAGGATGGGTAGGAGGCGGAATCCGAACCCTAGTTAGTAACTAGGGTTGTGCTATGTTGCACACCCGGCCGCAGCCGGGGGGGGAAATCGGCCGCGGCCTCGGCCGACAGCCGAATCGGCCAGGTTCGGCCTCGGCCAACCAGCCAAGTTTGGTGCAGGATTTTTTTTTTTTTTTCTAACGCATGAAAAAAAAAAAATATATGGGCGTGTAGGGCTAAAATAACCCTACACGCCCATATGTTTTTT